GATGCAGGTTTGCATGCCAAATAACCAGTGTCCTCAGTTAACTCTAAGGCAAACTTATGTTGAGACAAAAAGATACCATCTTTAGACTATGCAAGCTCAAGACCGAGGAAGAAAAGGTCTTTAATTGTGAAAGCTGCATCTAAACGCTACTGTACAAGATTAATTTCAGTCAAATCATTCCCAGCAAGAACAATATCGTCAACATATACCAGTATAGCACTAAGAGAATCAGAAACTGCTTTAAAAAAGAGGAAATGGTCAGAAGCTGACTGAACATAGCCATAGGAAATCAAGGGAGATAATAATTTTGAATGCCACTGCCAGCTTGCTTGCTTTAAACCATAAAGTAACTTTTGTAACTTGCAGATCAGATTCGGGGAAGAGGGTGTAAAGCCTTTTGAAAGCTCCATATACACTTCTTAATGTAGATCTCCATGGAGGAAGGCATTATTAACATCCCATTGGTGCAGAAACCAATTTTTAGGAGTTGCAATGGAAAGTAGTAATCAAAGAGAAGTCACCTTAGTTGTTGGTGAGAAAGTGCCAAAGTAATCAATACCCTCTGTTTGTGTGTACTCTTTTGCTACAAGTCTAGCCTTATATCACTCAACTTCACCATTGGCTTTATACTTAGTTTTGAATACCCACTTGCACCCAATAGTTCTCTTACCAAGTGGTAAAGTAGTTAAAACCCAAGTTTGATTCTGTTCTAGAGCATGAATTTCCACATTTATAGCATCCCTCCATTTTAAATTTTTAACAGCTTGACTATATGTCTTTGGATTAGGGGTGGAAGTGACAGATAAAAAATTTTTTGCTGCCAAAGATTAAAGGTTGATTCTGATTTTGTAGTGGCCAGATGAACCTGAGAAGTAGGAAAGGATGGAAGCATATCTGCATTTAGAAGAGAAAGCCCTTCAAAAATTTTAGCTATACCAATCATTAGTGAAGGTTGGAGCAAGTATATCTGACATAAGTGAGAATAAAAAATTAGAAAACAATGAAGGGAAAAGGTTAAATAAGAAACTGAGATAATGTTGAAAGCAAAATTCAGAAGATATAAAATGTTATATAAGACCAAAGTAGAAGAAAGAACAATAGTACCAAAAATAGAAGCTATAGAATGAGAACTAGTAGGAAGACTCACAGAAATGGGTGAAATGGATTGATAAGAAGAAAATAAATCCAAAGAAAAGTAGACATGATCAAGAGCAATATAATCGATTATCCAAGTACTAGAATGTTGAGAAGAAAATGAATGACAATTATCTTTAACCAAGGAAATAGAGGTGGAAAAATGATTAACAGAAGCAGAGGTGGAAGGTTGAGAAGGGCTTAATTAGGAGTGTTAAAAGGTGTTGATATTGCTCAGCAGAAAGTTAAGGGAGAATGGACGTTGTTTGTCTTGATTGATATGGAGGAAGAGGCTTAACAGTATGAATTTCTTGAACAAAGGAAAATCTTGAGTTGAAAAATTATTCACCGTGGCAGGGGAATCATTGCAAAACTTGAAGCCTGGTGGAAAACCATGCTTTCTATAGCATGTTTCTTCAATATGTCTTGGTTTTCCATAGCAAGTGCATTGTTTAGTGGTGCTTGGTTTGGAACCAGAGAAAGAACGGGGAAGAGAAGGTCGTGGACCCTTGGCAAGCATAATCTTGGACTCTGGTGTAATATGAAATTCATGTTCTCGTTGCAATACAAGAGAAAAGGCTCGATTAATGGGAGGTAAGGAATCCAGCATCATAACATGAAATTTGACAGAAGCATATTGGTCATTGAGGCCTTTGAGAAATCTGATGATGTAGTCCTCCTCTCTTTGTTTAGCAGCAGATCTACAGGAGCCACATGCACATTGCTTGATTGGACGAACACTAGAAAGTTCATCCCAAAAAATCTTGAGCCTAGTATAATACTCAGTAATGCTCACATTTCCTTGTTTCAGACTATGTATTTCCTCCTAGAGATTGGCAATGCGAAATATATCAAACTGAGAGTAAGGAGAGCAAAGATCAGTCTAGATGTTGGAAGCTCGATCAAACCAAAGAACACTCTTCGTGATGGTAGGAGAGAGCGATTTGGTGAGCCAGCCTTGCACCAAGTTGTTACAACATTCCTAGTATGGAAACATCAGATTAGAAGTGAAGAGGGAGAAAGGGATCCATCAATAAATTTGAGTTTGTTCTTGGATAGTAATGTCAAGCACATTGCTCGCGCCAAGGTGTGGTAATTGGAGCCATCATGCGATGGTACAACCGGAACCAGAGCAGGATTTTCATTAGGATGTATATAGTAAGGGCTATTCTAATCAACGGAAGGAGAAGTGGTGGATTCAGAGATGGTAAAGTCAGCTATGGAAGCTCGAAGAGAAGGAAAAAGATTGAATAGGACAAAGGGTAGAGAGAGAAGAAAAAGAAGAAAGGAAAAAGAGAGAGGGAGAGAGAATTTGTTTAGGCTCTAGTTACCATGATACTGAATGAATGGGAAAAATGAATATCTCACGTTCATTTCTTTCTTAATCAAGTATTTATACAATTAACCAATACATAACAGAAATATACATTACAGAAATTAGTTTCTAATTTAATAACAAGTATTAATTCCCTAACATCCTATATAGGAGAGTAAGGGTTGGAGGTGGACAAACAATTATTTGAAGAGCAAATAGCAGTAAGGGTTTGAAAATTGGTGGAAGTGACCATAATTGAGTGAATTTTATTATTTATCTTCTTTTTAGTCCCACCCAAGGAAAGCCTATGGCTTTATGGTGGTTATCATATATGTAAGCCTCAACACCAATAACTAGAGGGTGGACTCTAACATGATTTAAATTAATGCTTTCTTATGATTTCCTTTCTTTTTATTAGATGCTTGATTTTTGTTTTTTCTTTCTCCTCCCCTTTCCTTTTTATATATTTCGTTTTGTTTTTGTTTTTATTCTGTGCCTTTTGGGTCAGCCACACAAGTTTCACATTTCTCATAATTCATCTTTAAGGAGTGTATGAAATGAATTTTGTTTCAATTTGTATAAAAGCATTTTTAAAAAATGCTTTCAAATTACCAAACACCCCGGTGTATATATGTGTGTGTGCATGGCCATTTGGAGTCCGCCATTTTGACTGACATTTCCTTTCCTTTTATCATTCATTCGATTTATTGTGGTTGCATAATCACTTCCCGTCACTACTTTGTAACGTGTTGTTGGTGCCCTTTCGATTTTCACATGTCTGCACCCTTTTGCTTTTTTCCATTGACTTCATCCCTTGTCTTCCGTATGCTTCATGAGAAGTACTTCATGTAATGCAGTGATTTATATTTTAGCTTGTTCATTAACTATTTTGCTTGTCTTTTTGGGCCAACTGATAATGGAGCAAGGGTGCGTCCCTTCTCTACTGTGCTTGATTAGGATTTCATGAATTGATTTTGTGTCTCGTCCCTCTTTCTATAAAGGTTTTCTTTTTCCTTCCTCTTCCAAGCAGAGATTGCATCCTTTTTTTCTTAATTTATGCCATGTGAAATTTTAGATTCTCTCAAGACATCTATATTCATTAGTAAACCATGTAAGATTATGAGAGTTTCCACAGGTATACCAATGGGATTGCATCTTTTACTTAAAATAAATAAAAAGGAGAAAAATAATTTTGACTTGATTTTTAAAAATGAAAATAAAATAAAAAGTCCTCCTTTTTGTAAAAAATAAAATATTTTCAAAATAAATGCCTGCTTGAGTTGTGTAAGGTTTTAGAATCTCCGCAAGCTTGAACAATTATTTTTTTTCCTGTAAGATTATGGGAACCTTTATTTAAAAGAAATCTTTTCCAAATAACAACAAATGAATTGATTTTATCAAATAAAAAGCATCAAACAACAAAAAAATATTTTTTAATAAATTAAATTAAATAATTTTCTAAAAGATGACCGAGAGACACGCCTTTTTACCTTTAAACTACGTGGGTGTAGATCATACACTTTTTATCTTATGTCAAGTCAAACTTTGTAAATAATTTTTTTTCACTTTAGTTTTCTCCTTTGGTAAATAAGAAGTCTGTCTTTTTATTGTTTATATTTTTATTTCTTTTTAGGGACATTGAGCTCATTAAGCTTCTAATCTTTTTTCTTCAGTTGCATCAGCCAGGTTTCTTCTTCTTTTTGTTTTTTTTTTGGTTTTTGCACCACCTTTAAGGGTCACCGGGTAAATCTGTACCACATTAAACTCTAGGATGCCGGGAATTGCTTACAAAATATTTTGTGAATATTATTGTACTTAATTTTTTTTTATTTTCATGCTTCATTTTTGTTTTTGTTTATCAAGACAAAGGAAATGATTGCCGATTTTTCCACTAAATTACAAGAAAATAATTATAAAAACTTCCACCCCTGTTGTTTTTAACCACGGCACCAAAAACGATTGGCACATCATTAGAATACACGAAAAATAAAATTAAATAGGCATAGGAACGCAGAAATGATATAAAGATGCATTATATTTGTATTGAAGTGTTCAAAAACCATAACGAGAATTAAGAGCTTGTTTGTTTTTTTTTTGTTTTCTTGTTCCTAAAACAATTTTATAAAATTATTTTTTAGAGTAAGTTTTAAAAAAAAAAACAAAAGAATTTGTTTGCATAATCATTTTAAAAAAACATGTTTGAAAAAAAAACCATAGAAAACCACACTTAGTAGGTAATAGTTGTCGTTAAAAATAACAAGTGGTGGATAATAGGTAAGAAGAGAAAAAGATTTCTCAAAAATTTTTAAAACAAAAAATAAAAATACAAAAACAAAAACAGGAAAACATATAAAAGTTGTTTTGATTTCTTGGTTTTTAAAAACATATTACTGCTTTTTGTTTTTTAAAACAATCAACTGAAAAACAACTTACCATACAAGTTTTTTTATTTTTCTGTTTTTAAAAACAAAAAGTTGTTTTCAAAATAAGAAACCAAACAAACCCTAAATCACTAATAGTTTTTTCTATTGGAAAAGAGATAATATAATTCCTAAGAATTGTTGTCTACAGGCATTTGATACCGGCATAAAGGGCATACATGACTTGTTTTTAACCACTGAGCAATACAATTTTTGTGAAAATTATGATGACATGGCATTGTTGAAATCTCAGCATCATCATCAGCATCATTAAAATCTTCGAAACAAATGCAGCACTGATGATCAGTATTTTCTCCAAGTTCGACTTTGTTGAGAGACTGAATCGCTTCTTCAGTGGCAGGAATCATTCTAATTCTTTCCATCGACTCCTCCAGATCAACCATCTCCATGAAATCCCCAACATCCATATTCATAAGAAATCTAATGGTAACATCAATAGCTAAAGGAAATATAATGATCCCATCATCACGTTCAAGAATAGAAGGACAAGAACAATTATTATTATTATTATTATTATTATTATTATTATTATTATTGTCGAACCATTGTTGAGCTTTGGACATGATGTTTGGTATGAAAGCATCAAGTTCTTGAGGATCAATTAAAGGGTGGGAAAGATTCCTACGTACTAAACTTGAACCAGTTCGAAAAAATTCCTCGCATGACATGTAATGTGACGAAGTTGGTGCTGAAGATACTATGGTCGGAGGTGTCTCACCTGCGGGAAAACCAACTTGGAAACGAACATGAAGTGTGAGAATAAAATTTTGTGTTCCTTTGACTTTCTTTTAATTTTATTATATTGACATTAAGATTGAATTTCTTTTAATTTATTATATTACCTCAATCATAATCTAACATATCAAAATTTTAGGGTATATATTTTGGCCAAAAAAAAATCTCTTTCCCTTATTTAATTAATCTCTTAAGTTACATTTTTAAAAAAAAAAAAAACCTGTCTTTCCATAGGATAGGATTGACAAATCCTATTTGATTTTAAACTTCTCCGGATGGATTATTATAAAATCAGAGCTTCATATTGTGAACTATAAATCCATAATACTTTCTCAAATAATTCACATTATATTTCTCCCTTTATTGTTCTTCATTATGATTACCCTTACGCCTTTTTGGTCCTATGATGTCTCTGATCATTCTCACAATCCTGAAGTCTCTCAAACCTCAATCATCCAAAACCACCTCACAAGTGATGTGCTTTTGAATTCTTAATTATAATTTTTGCATTTGTGATATAATTATTCAAATTAAAATTGATTTTAAATTGAGTAAAAGATTTTATAATTGTATTTACTTCATTTAATACTTGTTTAGTGTAAAAGGGATATTTGATGGCCAAAAAGCGTAAAGGATATTTCAAAATTAGATATGCTTCGAAAAATTTCTTTTTCAGTTTTTTTTTTAATCCTAATCATAAATCTTAAAAGTAGATCTTCTGATTGTTCTGATCTCCCGAGTATTGAATAAGAAAAAGAAAATTGTTAAAAATAATGTGGATGAGCAATTATCTGGGTTTAATATATTTTTTATTTTTCTCCTTTTATGATGCCTTTTATTATTTTATATATAGGATACTTTTGGCCAAAAACAGATAAGGGATATTATAAAATCATAGTTGTTTTGACAATTACTCTTCTAGCTCTATTTATAAGGCAGAGAGATAAAATATTTTTTTGGTTCTATTTATAGAACACTGAAAAAAAGTCTTTATATGGATGTTTTTACCCTTCATTTATTATTGCGTTGACTTGGTTTCTATGAGGTAACAATGAAGTTTAAAATTTTTTTTGTTTGTATGAAATATGTTGAAAGTGACTTTTAAATAAAATTAGAGGAGTAACATTTTAAATTTCATGATCAGAATCTTCAATTATTTTTAAGTAGATATCTTTTGAGAAAAGTAAGGTGAGGAAATATATGAGAGAAAAAAGTACTGTGGGCTTGTTTGGTTTGCTTTTGTAATTGGTTACGAGAGCCAAAAACACACTTTTCTTGAAAATATACAAGCACCTCTGTACACGTCAAAATCAATTATGAACTCAAAACCAAGTATCTATATACTTCTTCTGATTTTCATTTTGTAATGTAATTATACTACAAAATGAATCTTTTATTTAAAACCGAAGGAGCATACACACACAGAGGTTATGAATCCAAAATTATCACTATTAGACAAAAGGCCTTTAATAGCGGTTAAAATGAGTTTTCCACGACGGTTTTGGAGGCGCAGTGAATTCCATCAACGTTGTAAGGAGAATAAAACACAACGATTGTAAACTGTCATAAAAAAAATAACTTTTCACTACAATTTTTTTAAACAAAACACCGTGGAAAGTGAATTTTTCACAGCGGTTTTAATGACCAAACTATCGTGGAAAGACAACTTTTAACGACGGTTATTAAAATAACCGCCGTTAAAAACTCCATTTATTTTTTAAAATTCTGTGTGAATTTTCTTTATAGCCTCTTTGCAATCTACAAACCCAAATCAACCAGCAAAGTGCAGAAGAATACGCAGAACAATTTCAAGATGCTTATCCTAACTAACATCCAATTCTTATTCAATCACCTAATATATCAACAAATATTCAATTAGTGTTAATAATCAAGCAATAAACTAAAATGTGATGAATGACTTAACTATTTCACATTTTCAAAATTTTGTAGTAAGTATCTCTCATCAAGTAGATTTCCTCCATGTCATATGACACATTATTTTATAATGCCTGTAAATTGAAAATAACATATCATTAGTCAACTTGATAAAAAATATGAAAAGAATTGAAGAATTACATGCAATATAACCTATGTTTACCTTGTTTAATTTCTCATTCACCCCTGTCTCAATGATGCTATTCATATAGCATATGACATAATATTCGCATTCAACACTCCCGGGTTAACAACGGTACTAACAAAATGAAATTTAAAATTGAATACTTGACTTTGATTATCTAAAAAAAAAATTGTAAACATTAACTTTGATTATTGAAAAGATTTATAAGCATATATTTAGTTTAAAACAACATACTTGTAGGAGAATCTATGTTGGTGGTTGCCTATTTTGCTGTTTAGCCACAATATTAAAACTATGAAAAGCCCTATCAGCAATAAAAAAAAGATATTAGAGCATGTTTTTATAAACTTTACATGTAATAAATATGTAAACATAAACTAACGTGTCAATGACATCTCTGGTTTCTTCTTATAGACCTCCACAGAGTGAATCGAACTAATAAACTTTGTTGTCAAAGAGAGCATAAACAATTAGGGTCTAAGATAATTGCAAAATACGAATCATGTTAATTATAATCCTATATATATAACTTGTATATCTCAAATACAATAATACAATTACTCTTCCACGTAAGGTGCAAAATATATTTTCTTTTTCGTCTGAGTCATTGTGGTCATCATAGAGATCGACCTCGCTTTCATAGTATTGACTATTTTCTGCACCTTTTGAGGACACATAAAACCATATGTTCCTTCAAGTCCTCCCTACTGACAGACTTGAGTAAAGTGTTTGTTTTTCAAATAAGAAATATTAGAACATGCATAAATATAACATGAAATAAGAAAATGATATTATAACTTACAAAATAGCCAGCTGCATAAAGAATATATCTAGCTCCTCAAAGTTGAGGAACTGAATGAGGTCCTTCTTGTCAATGATAAAATCATATGTTACATTTGAACCCGCAATCTCCAACGGCATCTTGAAAGTAAGGGGTTTCTCTATGTTTGCTACCATGGAATGAAGAAGCGCCAAATTGAAATACATAACCGCACTGTCATTAGGAAGAGGCAGGATGACAAAATTTGATGCACTCTTTGTTGCCTTCTTCGCTATCGCCTTCTTTGTCACTACCGGCTTTCCAACAAGTCTCTTTGGCCACAAAATGAAATTTTCTTGAGTTTGAGCCGGTAGTTGAACCTCATCAGCAGGGTTGGACACTGGTGTACCACCTTGACCACTATGGATCCTATCCACCATCATCCTTGCTTGATCCTTCGGAGCTTTCTTGCCATGGATCGTTGTGCTTGAGAATGCTCAACCATTAGCAATATGAACAGTGTAATCTTCAAAGTCCACATAAAGGGCACATGGCATTCCATTGTTTTAGGCAAAGTTAGGGCTAGGATAAGGGTCAAACACTGTCAGCTACTGCGTCTGATTATTATTGCTCTTCCCAAACCCTGAAACATAAAAAGAAATTACTTAAGGCACATTAAATAAGTTTAAACGGATGAAGTGAACTTTTAGAAGATTTGAGAAGATGTGTGATTATTACTTACGAAGGTTCAGACACTTGGGGTATCTGGAATCCGGTCATGCCTATCATTATCATAGCCTGTGCAAACTTGGCATCACACTCCTCATACATCTTTTGCATCTCCGCCTTGTGTTCTTGACTAAGTTGAGCTTAATATTTGATAAAACTACCCCTCTTGATAACATCAATTGATATTGGATGTCATAGACTCAAGGATATCAATTGATGTTATCAAGAGGGGAGTTTATACACGCTATACTCTTTTTTCCTTGTTTATGGTTTTTCCCTACTGGGTTTTTCTAGCAAAGTTTTTAATGAGACAGTATCGAATAGTGTATCAATGAATGTGTACTCTTTTTCTTCTGTTATGTTTTTGTCCCACAAGATTTTTCCTAATTGAAGTTTTTAATGAGGCATATCCTTATATAATAGACATTCAAAGGGGAGTGTTATGAATATTATCAATTATGAATGTCCATCTCCTCTTCTTCTTTAACTTTATCAACTCCCACTACTTTCATTAGGCATTAATCTTCCACTACTCTATTACTTCTCCACTATGCCTTGAATTTTGTAACTCACCTCCACTTCACATTCATGTAGTTTATTATCCATTATCTATCATTTAAGTATAAGTGTAACATATGTGTAAGACTATGCCTATAAATAGGACATGTTACTGTGTTGTGATAAAAATGAAACAAGTGAATGAATACAATATCATTCTCTTATTTTTTTTATCTACTTCTCTTCTCTAATATACTTTTATTGTTAGTTAATTTCATAACATCGATTACAATTTTCCAAAAATTCCGTTATTTAAAACATTTATGCAGTTTTTCAAAATCACTCATTGAGATGTAATTAATAATATATCAAATATGGGTAAATTTTATCTTTTTTCATTTTCAAACAATATTAAGGACTTCACTGGTATCTCTTTTAAGATGGCTATAGTAATGCCTTATGATGGGGAAAGTACATGAAATTGCAATATTTACCGCAATTACTTAAGAACAACTCAAACTCTGCTGCTAACGGCGAAGCACCGAGTAACTTTTAACTCACTCAATTTTTTTGGGGTCTGAATTAACAAGTCTGATTAATTAGAATTAAATTAGTTGAAAGCAGAATTTCGATTTGTCCTCGCAATTTTATTGAATGTCCACCGGGCCGAAGCAAAACAGGAGAGCATGAGCGGCTCCGTTGATTCTATGCCCTGACCCAGAACTTTGATCCAAAGGCAGGGAGGGGGGAGGAGGGGGGGAGCAGAGAGACCTGTGAGTTCGCCGATTCACGTTCCCGTCGTTTGAGTCTCAGACCAGTGTGGAGTCGCTGGTCTGTATTCTGTATTCATTTTCTCTGCTGCAAATACAATGGCTTCAAAATCTTCTCAATTCTGGGAGCATTATGGCTATGATTTGCTGTTGGGATCAATAGCTGCTTTCTATTTGCTCATGGCGCCGTATACCAAGGTTGAGGAAAGTTTCAATATTCAGGTCGACTTCGACTCTTCTCTTTTCCCACCCTTCGCATTTCTTTGCTGGGAAATTATTTGTCAGAAAATGGCATAATAGAAGCTTGCTTTGTCGGGTGATTTAATTTGGATAAATTGTTTCTTTTTGAACTCAAGCTGAAAAGGAAAAGGGTGAATGAATTGTGGAATTTATATACTGATCAAAAGTTCAGAGGGTAGCGGGTATTTGGATAGTTGGAGAAAAAGCTTTAAACGGAGGGATTGAATGATGTATATTGACTTACGCATTATATTCAACAATGTGATTCCTTTTCAAGGAGCTTCTCTTCGGTAAAACTGTAATGAGTGTTGTCGTTTGTTCTTCTGCTGTTTCTATGCATCCCAAAGTGTTATTTTTGATGTATGAAGTTGAGTCTGGCATCCTTTTTTTTTTTTTTTTTTTAAGGGTAAATATTGGCACCTAATAAGATGCAGTTGAGTTATTTATCCAGAGTGCAGTCAGTTGCTTTATCTGTGTTGGAGTCAAAGTTATCTTGAAATTCTTCGTTAAATGGGCAACTTATTACTGTATAGCTCGGCTTTGGTAAAATCCTGCATTTCTGAATTCTGACCGTTTGCTCATTTTGTTTTGTTGGGTTCTCAAGGCAATGCATGATATTCTTTATCACCGACATCACTTGGATAATGTGAGTCTAGTTGTTTATACCTGTCAGCATAATTCTATAATTTAAGTTGGCTTTCGCTAGACTTTTGAGTGAATTTATTCAATTTTGTGTTGTCTTATTAATAGTATGATCATCTGGAATTCCCTGGGGTGGTTCCTCGCACTTTCATTGGTAAGACTTATAATTTCTTTCATTTTTCTTTTCTTGTAGTCTGAAAGCTTTTTGCATTGATATCATAAAGAATAATCTATATGGAAAGATTTATACTAAGATATTAGGGTGGTCTGATAGTAGATTTATATTCAACCACTAAGGTAATCAAATGGTTACAGATGTGGGCTTTTAGCAGCAGATCTTATGTTCAAACTTTTGTTCCGCCATGTGATAATAAAAGGAGAATTATATTATGTGATTCTAGGGGGATCAAGCAATTGGTTCCCGTTGCTAACTTCACATTATTATTAAAAAACCACAGTAGACTGCAATTTGAGACAGTAAACTTATTTGTTAACGAAGTAAGTTCCTGTCCGAAGAAATAAACCAATCTTTGTGAGTCATATGACTTGGAATGCAATATACTTGTTTCTTAATCATTTTTATTGGGTTGTTTGATCAATTCAGTATTAGAAACATAGTAATCTGCATTTTCATCTCTGATCAGATTGTTTTGAGTTTTATTGAAGCTATACAGCTTTTTGTCATCACTAAAGTTGACCTCTATCTTTTTGGATTTTGTTATCCTTTAGGTGCCTTGCTTGTGTCACTTCTTGTGGCTCCATTTGTGTTGATTATGAGTTTGCTGCAATTGCCAAAGTTTTACGGTCTTTTAATGGGTAACTTTTTTCCCCCCTTCTTGATGCCATCATTGCTTGTTGAACCATTTTTTCTTTTTGGCAGTGAAGTTTAATCTTTTGATAGCGTACTCCCCGTAATTTTGTTTTTAAATGATGAAACATAGATGCCAATTTAGCATTGGCATAACTTGTTTATTTTTCTTTTCTTACTTTTCTATTATAAATAAATCTAATGTGTTCTTATTGTTTGTACCCAGTTCGAATGGCTCTGGGGTGCATCATATTATATACCCTAAGGTTCTTTCGTTGTCAGGTATTTGCTTTTTCATTCTTCAAGATCCCTGACTCTCAATTATCAATCATTATAAACTCAGGACCTTTCATCTCCAGGATTCGAGCTGAGGTCCTAGAAAGGTCCAGCACCTCTCACGGCATGAGAGGTGTTTAATTCAATGAGGCACCAAAAGTCAGATGCCTTTTGTGCCTTCTCCATTGTGAATGGCATGTGCCTTGATTGGTTTGCACATTTGAAGCAATGAGCTTATAAATTCGAGTTCAAAAACTATAAAACACAACCTGAAAACTCCTGCCTAACCTTTAATATTTAAGGTAATAGGGTGAGCAATAGTTCTTACTGTAAAATATTGTTCAGATTTTTATCGACTTTTTAGGGTTTTGTAATCAGTCATGAAACCAATGCCAAGCAACTTCCTTTTACTATATTGAAGCCTAAATGTGAACATTCATCTGTACGAACAATTAAACAACTGCTTTATGAACTATAGAAGGGAGGGCTTGGGTTAAATTCTGTTTGTAAGAAATTTATTTCCATGAATAGGATTCCCAAGAATGCAGAAGACATAGATAAGGCATATTACGCTGATTTTCTTCTTGTGCAATTATTGCATCAAGTAATTATTTTCTTCACTAGGTAAAGTTCTAGTTGCCAATGAGGGCAATAAACTTTTGTAGCATATGATTCTAATCCTCACCACATGCAATGTGATCTTTTTCTTTCCGGCCTAGATTGAAGAAACTATCATTTGTGTTGGAATAAGAGACGTTGCTAGTCATTCTAGATATATGGTTGATATCCTTGTTATGTTTCTGAAGTTCTTCATCAATACCTATTCTATATCTTGTCCTTTATTATATTTTACTTCTTCTGGAGAGGGGTTATTGATGTCAAGTTCTGTTATGGTGATGGTGGCAGTTTGTTTTTATTAGTGGTTTTTTCTTTTTCCCATGGAAAGTTGGGGCTAACGTTTGTAGTTTGACGTGGGGTGTTGTGATAGTTGTGACCATGAAAGTTGTGTATTGGCGACTTTGGTTGGCGTTTGGCTCTGTGGTGAGTGAAGATTTTGATGCTGAAAGGAACTACTTATTCCACTTAAAAGTATTGCTGTTTATAGGAACAGATCCCAGACAATAAGTATGGGATTTAGCTGAAATTACAGAGGTAAAATCAAAACAGAAAATCAGATGAAAACTTTCTAAATAGATGATGACAAGAATTGCATAGAATCAGGGAATAGGATCAGCATTATTCTGAGTCAAATAGTAGAAATATCTTTGGCCCACTTTGTCCTAATAGCTCGCCAACAGTGAGTAACCCAAGCTGTGGATATTGAGTAAGAGATAGTTAAATAACATACACAAGAAGTTGGTCAGGAACTTCTTTAAGCTGTGTCATTTTATTTGATTATGTGATTGAGGGAAGCAGTTGAAAGAATTTCGAGACAGCTTTTTTTGGTAAACAAATGAGAGTTACGGGAATGGTGTTA